ATAATAATTATTATATGTGTTTTGATATTTGGTTACCTATTGAAATTACTGTCACCTTTTTAAATGTTTGATAATTTCTGTGAGGGTTACTTAATGACGTGCAAGATTGTAGCACTTTTTATTGGTCTACTTAAGTAAAATCATCAGCCCTTGACCTTCATATTAGCTTAGTTTTCTAATCATGTTTCTTAAACTAAAGAATTTGAATATCTTTAGTTTCTTTTATAACAGTGGTGACTAGTGTTATTGCCTGGTAGTCTGAGAGATTATAAGCTACTACCTTCCTGGCCCTGTAACATTTTCATCCATTGTATTGTGTAGGCTGTATAAGTATGGCAGACGTCTCGGCACGGAAGCCTTCCATAATGAGAAGGATCAAGTCCAACTCCCTCCACTGGAGGTGTGGGACAGAGTTTCAATATGGAAGAACATTCCTGAAATTTCTCATAAGGAGGTGATGGAAACAACCAATGGCTTGCATACCTGGCTGGAGATGATCTACAAGTATGGAGTGGCCATTCTCAGAAGTGAGTTTCTAACTTCGTATTGATCAGAAGCATTTTCAGCTAGGAGCAAGTCTGGCTTCACCGTCTTAGGACAGTATTAATGAAGAAGATACCAGCATTTTTGTGTTTTCTATCTTCAAGGTGCCATTAAGAGTGCTACAGCTTCCATGGAGCATGTAACAAGATGTTACTTCCAGAAGATGATAGTTAATCCAGCAGTAATGTTTTTTATTTACTTTTGATTGTTAATTATAGTCTTCTTTTGCCAGGTGCTTCTGTATGTGTTTTGGCTTCTAATTACCAGAGTGATCACCTCCATGTACATAATTTCTTGAAGATTATTTTCAGAGCCTCTAATTACCAGGATGATCACTTCCATGTACGTAAATTCTTGATTATTTTTCAGAGCCTTGTTATAGATCTTTCAACTTTCAGGTTTTTTTTTTCACCTTTTCCAGTAAACTTATTTTTCCAGATTTTGCATTTTTTATTTATAGATTCAAGAAATGGGATCGTTATACTCTAATGACAAATTTTCTGATGCACAGTAAGGACAAATTATCAACAGAGATTAGAAAACATGTAACTTTAACATAGAAAACTCTTAGCTATTTCAGCGCAAGAGTAAGGTTTGCTTCTAGTTCTCATGCACACATTTTTTTTTAAATGTTTAACCCAAAACAAGTCTTGAAATGTAGAGGCTTGTTAAACATAACTCAACCTTCCTCTGTTTTTTTTTATTTATTTTAAAACATTTTGTGTAATTCAGTGTCTTTATATATAAAGCAAAACAAAAAAAATGCGGGAACATAGATCTTAAAGATGGGATACAATATATACAGCTCATATCTTCATTCGAAGTCACCCAGTTAAAGCACTAGGAGCCACATCAATGCCTTGTACTCTTTGTATATTTTAAGTACAGTAGTAGTAGTAGGGACAGACAAGGATTCCATGTAATTCACATGCTGAAAACCCACCCTATCAAATCCTAAGTGAAAAATTGGTATAGTATAATGGTAAACATATCTTGCACATACTTAGCTATCAATTCAACCCAACGGCTGGCGTTACATATCAATAGATATACATGCGACAGTTTCTAAAGGTAAAGTATATACTTTATACAGATATAACCTAAAGTAAACAAACAAGAAAAAGTAATGAAACAAGAATTAATCCCTACATTGGCAGATTTATACACTTATCTGTAGGGCAAAGTAAGAATTACATTTATAAATTTGTGATTCTTGTTTTATAGTAGGGTCCCTACTTCACTTTAAAATTCATAATTGTTTTGATACTCTTCGGAAGATATTTGTGTTTGATACATGCGAAACTTTTCTATATTTCTCATGATGCCGATGTAGTTGTAAATACGACTGGTACGTTATATATCGTTAATCTATGATGAAATCGTCATTTACAAAACTAAAAACTCCCCCTATGTAAATTTTACAGTTTTCTGTTTTGCCAAAACGTGCAACCTTTTTCAGCATATGATAAGTATTTTAGACGGACTGACACGAATGTTGGAAACTTCGTTATTTTATTAAATACATTAATGACATACACCTGTCATGGAATGTCTTAAAAAATCTCGCTCTCAGCATCAAAAATAAATCTCCGAAGTCTTCTCCCATTTCACGAATGTTGGTATAACGAATAACTGTTGCGTATATACTCGTGTCTAAAAAGCATTATAAATTTTCAGTACTATTGTATAACTTGGTATCGAAAATTTAATGAAACAGATGTTACTGATTTAAAGTAGCCCAATGTGCTTTCAAGATCTTTTTGTTTATTTTCACTTTTCAAGGGACTTTTACTTTAGATATTCAATGATTTCAGCTCCAGGTTGTCTTTGAGGATGTTCTACGTGTAATGTATAGTTTCATGATCACCATAATTTATTTCTCATCACCATGTAAAGTCCCATTTTCAGGGATGGCACTCTACATCTTAGTTCTACATGTAATGTATAGTTTCATGATCACCATAATTTATTTCGCATCACCCATCACAAAATACCTTATAGAAAATGACCAGGGACAATGGTAAAGAGGAGGGGCTTGTTAAGAGCTGAAGCTACAACAAAATATGCCTCATCTTCCCCTAAAGTCTCTCCCCCTCCCACACACACACGCCCAATGAAAAGCATTTTTGTTTTTTTGAAATCTGGATGACATTGGACCTTCAAGAAGTCACTGTTAAAGCTAATTTACTTCCTAAATACCACTGCATGTGTATCCATAAGATGTAGAGTGCCATCCCTGAAAATGGGACTTTACATGGTGATGCAAAATAAATTATGGTGATCATGAAACTATACATTACATGTAGAACTAAGATGTAGAGTGCCATCCCTGAAAATGGGACTTTACAAGCTTGTATGTTATTTTTGATAATTCAGGAAATTTAATTATATTAAAACAATATTTGTACGCTGCAGTACAAAGGTTTACGTACAGAGTAAGTCATAAAATGGGGGGTAATGTAAAAAATTTTTAAGGGATTAGTGATGAGCTAGTTTCTTAAAAAATGTTTAATGGTTGCACAAATAGCCTTGTTTTATGAAGCTTTTGTTTATCTTGTGTACGATTGTAGTTGAATAACTGAAAGTTTTGAACATTTGTAATTCTAAAGTGGAAATTTTTATAATTTGGCTTTGGATTTCATGTGTGAATATTAAATATTCTAATTTACTTTCTTTTTCTGTAGTTTCTATTATGTTTGAAAAACTGTAATTAATGTGAAGTTTGTTTTTAATGTGCTTTCAGACTGTCCTCTAGATAAAAACGAAATCCTTAAAGTTGCTGACAGAATCGCTTATGTGAAGAACACCATATGGGGACCAACATTTGATGTTGTATCTGAGCCAGTTCAGAGTGACCCCAAACATCTGGCTTTCACTGGACGTTACCTGGAGTTGCATACAGACATGAATTACCGTGAAAAGTCGCCAGGTGTAGTTTTGGTTTATTTGTAATTTGAACGGTTTGAAAATTTCTAAAACATGTGATACATTTGTCACTTCTAGATTCTATCTTTAAAACCATCAAAATCGGAAGAGTATGCCTTTTGTTTTGTATTTTTGTTGTTGTTTTTTTAAGAGATAAAGTGAGCATACTTTAGCCTAGTAAAAATAAACTGTAAAAAAAAAATCTTTTGTGCTTCCCTGTCATGGCAGTTTTCATTATTTTTCTTTCTGTTTAGTTGTTCATGTTTGGTGATAGGACCAACACAATGATTAGCTGAATAGTATAGCTTCTAGCTGCATCACCTTTGTTGAGTCCAATGAAGTCCATTGAAGTCCAATGGACTTTTATACAGCTTCTGCATTTAAAATTAGTGGCTGCATAAAATTGGTGACGAAGTTATGCTGGAATTTGATTTCAGCTTTTAGACATGTCCATATGCTACCTGATGTTTATTTAAACTTTCTTATATAAGGATGCTGCTTTTCTTTAAACCGTTAGGGTTAACAGTAGTATTCAAACAGCTCTGTACATATGTTGAGCATCAGTGAAAAGTTAGGGTTACCAACAGTGCTTAAACAGTTACTTTCCTGTTTCAATCTTTGCAGGTTAGAATGATATATTGTCTACAAAGTGTAAAATTTCAACCATTTCTAGATTTAAAACAAAAATCAAAGTGAATTGGTGTATTTTATATATTTTATTGTTGCTGGATACAAAAGTTATAATAAATTACAATAATATCCAGTTATTCAACTTTACTTTTTTAATCCTGTTTCCTATAACAAAAATATTAACAAGAAAGTTTAAAGTAATAATCATATGGAGATTCAAAAAAAATGATACAGAATAAACCAGAAAAAAGGCTAATTTACAAAAAAAAATGTAAAACTTTGCTTTATGCCTTTTTAATGTAAGATACACTTCTGATTTAGGGTGGGGAATCTGACAAATAGAAAATATGAACAGTTGATTATGTAGGCAGTTTAAAATTCTCCAAAATCAATAAATAAAGCAATAATTGGCTTTGAAATGACGTTTCCATGGAAACATTATCTTCAAATTGACTTGATTTATTTTTTCTTGAAGGTTTGCAGATGCTACACTGTTTAAAGGCTTCTGATCTTAAGAAAACGGGAAAGGATGTTGGAGGAAAATCGTTTTTTGTGGATGGGTTTTATGTGGCAAAGTGGTTAGAAGATCATCACCCTGCTTCGTTTCATGTTTTAACTTCAACCCCTGTGACCTTTGCTATCAAAAGTCATTCGGTGAGTCTTCTAAAATCATTTCAATTATGAATGTTTTTCAAAGAATTGTTAAGATTTAATATCTTAAATATGTTAATTAAAGAAAAATTTTAATGGTGTAAGATTTGCATTTTTTTTTTAACAATAATAAATATTTACAGACCAAAACACGCTTTCTCGATAGTGAAACATAAAAATACCAGGGAAAAGTTAGTTTGAAACATTATGGGGATAATCTTAATAGCAGAATAACTGTAATAAAAAAAAACAAAAAAAACTTGTAAACATTTGTATTAGTGTTTAGAATCCATGACTTTAAACTGTTAGGTCCTAATAGGTTCTAAGTGTAATAAAGGTTCGTATCAAAGTGTGTGCACAATCTGAAACCAGTATACAAAAGTAATGTCTATCTATAAAGGCAACAAAAAAAAAAGGAATTGTGATATTATCAGAAATTTTGTTTTTGCTTATTAATGTGAATAACAGACGTACTGTTTGATTTCTTTTTTTTTCTAGATGAGGTACAGCCAGACTATTCCTGTGATCTGTGTGGACAAAAGTGGTGAAGTTCAGGAAATTCATTACAATAACCGGACTCTTGCACCCATTCAACTTCCTCCCCACTTGGTTGTGCCCTTTTACCATGCTTACAAGTAAGTAATTTTCTTACTGTTCGGAAGTTAATTAGGAAAGAGACAGATTTGAATATGTTTTGAACAAAATGATCAAAGTATATAACACTTCCAAATTACAGCATGTAAAAGTAAATATTTAGATCTTTTATTATAGTTTTAAAACTTTCTATATTTTTTAAAAAGAGATCTCAGTGAAAACAAAAAAACTCTTCCATTATGCAAAAGACTTAGTTTTGTCTGTTCCCCAGAGATTTACTTTAAGAAACATCATAGCTAGTGCTAAGATATGATGAAAAAAAGAAGAATTTAAATTCTGGCTGATTAGTTTATAAAATATGCACGATAGGTGGGAATTTTTAGCTAACTACTATAAAGTTTCTTCAAGACTTAACTTTATTTCCCTCGTACAATACGTGGAACTCGAAACATAGCTTATATTGTAGTGAATGTGGTAAAATAAGGGTCATGCAAATAAGTGATTTGAATGTATGTATTTATAATTTTCAGAGCAAGTGTATTTATAATTTCATGATTTGTGGAGGGGGGAGACTTGATTTTTTTCAGCATAGTTGGTTTGCTAGGACTATTAGATGGGACTTGCTATTCTGAAAGTCACAGGGAATTTTATTTCTAATGTTAATAATTTACTGGCTACAAAAAGTTCTTATTAGCTAAAGTCTCTTTGTTTTGGGAACTCAACTGAAAATCAATTGCATTTTAGCATTTATAAACCATGTCAATAGGCTTAGTAAATAGGCTTAGTAAATCTGTTATTTTAGTTCCACCATAAGACTAAAATTACCGTGTGTTTATTTGCAACTTGTGAATGAATTCTTGTGTTCCTGTGCATCAGACTAATGGCTCAAAAGATGAGAGAACCTCAGTCCCAGCTGGCTTTCCACATGGTTCCAGGTGATCTTGTGGCTTTCAACAATCGCAGAGTTCTTCATGGGCGTACAAGCTTTGATCCATCGAAGCTAGAGAGGTGAGAACAAGAGATAATGAACCAGGAGTTACAAGCTGGGTTTTCAGTTTTATTTATCATTAATGTTTGAGAAGGATCATTAAATCTTGTATTTCAAAAAAAAAAAGTTGGCAGCGCAAAGGAAACTGAGACTCTAGTTTCTATGAGAAAGATTATTTTCCTGATCTTCCAAACAGCTGATGTACAGTAATGGAAATATTTCTGAAAACACACAAGGGATACAAATAAACAACAAATAATTGCAGTTAGGTGTTGAATTTATTGATGGTACAAAACATTATCACAGAAAATAGAAAAGAAAACGGATAAGCTGTACGAGGAATTTTTTTACGTGAATCCTTTGCGTTACATAGAGTACTACATCTTGTTTTATGTACAGTTTATCAATATATGATTGTGGAATGTTCCAAATGTCCCATTTCACTCTCTGTAATTCAGTCAGGTTAGGTGATTGTGTTCTAATGTCAATTTTTATCGTACCCCCCCCCCCCCCCCTCACGTCTCTAACGATTGTTCATACT